ATGAATCCTTCCACGGAGCAATCCGTTCTCAAAAATAAAATCAAACTCCTCCTGAAACCCAAGATGAAAGAGATCGTGCCTTTGATAGATATGCCGGAAATAGAAAGTGAGACTGAATCTGATAGCGTTGCAGAGGATAACGACGCTGATGACGACGAGTATGACGTGGAGGAGAATGTTTGAGGAAATAAATATCGGTCATTAGTATATCAGTCAGAAAGCGAATGCCGAGTCAACGCCGCACGTCTAGTTTGATTCATATTTTGAAAACACCTCATACACTGAGGCGCTTGAACGATGAGAAACGCCGAATTTTCCCCTACGTGAGACGAGTTGTGAAACTGGGACCCCCTGGACGGACATCGTTAAAAGCAGTGGATAAAACAAGACTATTGATAACCATTCAACCTTAAAACAGCATAGGAAAGGTGAACTGAATATTCAACAGTGCGAAATGTGTTTCAAAAACATGGACTTGCCGTTTAAACAATCGCGCCTTGAAGCAGCAGCCTGTGTCTAGAGTGACTGAACTGTTGACTTTAATGTTCCAGAGTGAATCCTATTGTCCATTCGTATATCACAGCTTTGTATAGAACCGACTGACTTGAATCAATAAATGATATGAATGGAATTGCTTGTTTTGTCGGGGTTTGTTTTGCATACTTAGAATATAATCCTTATATACCTCGATGATAATATATGTGTAGTCCCTAGACAGACATCGATACACACTTCACAGATCTACGAACCTCCCATCCATAGCAATACAGCTAAAAAGTAATGCCATCATTTAAATTGTGAGTTTAAACGCGTATTTTTACATGGATTTACCTTTACAAGGACGAGTGCATTCCGCACAAACGCTACACCCTCCTGTTATCAACGTGTAACTGTTTACAGTTGGATGGTCTGAAAATACCCAGAGTTATGTTGACCCTAGACATGTGTGCGGGCGAGTTCATTCATCAGAAATCTGTTACTTACGATGTGTTAATAAATACGAACTGCTAGCCACACTCATAGTAATGTTTCATGCCGTGGTTAGAACCGTAATGGATCTATTGAAAGGTGTCATACATTCATGTTCAGATATATGCATAAAATCTACACGCACATACATTCCTACATGACCGCAATTTCATTCAAATGTATTAAATATACCGATTACATTTAAAACACACACACACACACACACACACACACACACACACACACACACACACACCGCAACGAGACTGTTTGAACAACCTTCCTCGGACGTGTAAACCGGAAGTGTTTCGCTAGCAGACGACTGTCCTAAAGCAGACGAACTTTTTTCTTATTCACATCCAACCCGTTGCAGACGGGGAACCGCTAGCAGACGACGAACACCTGTGTCATCTCATTCACTCCGCTCAATTCAATACCTTCCTTTGTTCCCTTTGTTACCACATCTTTAGGGAGTCTTCTTCCACTGCACATTCAAGTACCTCACTCCATTGTACACCCGCTCACGCTTCATCGATTTCTATTGAAATTGGGAGGTAACTGGTATTGTTGTCATGATTTCCTACATTTTCCTCTATTTCCTACATTTTCCTCTACTTAACTCTATCATGACTTCTTTACAGATGAATTCAAAATATTCAATTAAAATATAATACTAATCCCGAAATTAAATTTGAATTGTCCACAAACCTAATGTTTTGTTTGTGACAGTTTTCGTAAAAAACTGCTTGAATAGAGTTATAATGTTAATTTAAAATATCGAATTTGAAACAGAAAGTTTGACATTATGACGTCACTATCGTTGAATAACTTAGTTTGGTTACACAACACTCGTTGGATAACTTTCAACTGGTTACTAAGCAGCTGTTTCAAATGACCAAAATTATCTCATAAAGATATTCAGAACACGTGTGTAATAAATAGAGAATCTCACCCGATTGCCTTCTGAATTCAGTTTTATAAAGGTGATAAAGTTACAAATATCCGATGCTTGCCGGGGATATTTTTACTTTCATCAACGAATGTTGATATTTTTATTTCAAGATCAAGATGGTTTATTGTACATAAGGCCTCTGGCCCGTATACATAGTGTTATAATGACTGGCAAGGTATTGACATTGCAAACAGTGGAAAGCATCATAACATTGTTAGATTAGTTGACAGGAGAAATTAGACTCTTCCTTAAAGACAGAGAATGTGTTAAAAACAGGGCTAATTTTACATGGACAGATTCGTCTTTTGATGATAGAATTCTTATAAGTGTTTCCCTTGTAGGGACCTATATACATCAAATCTAGAAATTAAATTAAGAGTATTCATCCAATTCTGGCGAAACATATCCACAGCTCTTTGACGAAATTCATTCATAAACAACTACTCGTTACCGACACCTTCGAAAATCCACACATATCGAAATCCTTACGAAAATAACAGATATCTTATATTTGATGCCCATGTTACATAACCAATATTATCTAAATTAAGCAGCATGTTATAAGACTTTCTTGGTAGACGCTGTTCATGCATTTTCAGTATTTTGAACCAGTATTTTATGCAGCGAAGGTGAGAGTTTATATAAAGTGGGTATCTTCCACATTCTCCATACACCATATAGTTTCGTGTTGTAATGTTAACATTAAGAAACTTCTTACATGCCAATAGATGGATTTTTCTCAATCGGTTCAAAAGTCTGGAAACCCCATATCCCTGCCCCATGCAAAAGCATTGGTTGTATATGTGCATCGAAAAGTTTAAAAAACATCTTTGGTGTTATTGGCGCTAATGGATAGAGCGATGAAAGTAAATACACCAGAGCCTTTTTTGCTTTTGCTGTTAAGGCAACAGCAGTTTTACCCATATTCAATGTATAATTAAAAAGTATTCCAAGATATTTGTATTCAGAAACTATTTGCATTGAAATGCCGCTATAAAACCATTTTTGGCCATTAGCGATTTGTCCACCCCTTCTAAATACAACACTATTTGACTTATCAAGATTAACATCTAATTTCATTCTTTCGAGTAGTTCTCCAGAATGTCTAATTGGTTCTGTAAACCTACCACTGAGTCCGATACTAATATCACGTCGTCAGCAAACAGTAGCATTAAAATCTCCAAAATATCAGGATATAGTTCTACACCATGTTTGCCTTCATGAATTATTTCATTTTCTAATTCGCTAATGAAGAAGGGAACAAGAATAGGGCTTAACAAACATCCTTGCTTCACACCCAATGGGCACTCAAAATAGTCAGTGATTCCCCCATTGCTACGCACACAAGACTTTACACCTGCATAAATACCTCGTAACATAAATAACATTTTCCCATCTAATCCCGCCAGCCTTAAACAAGCCCACAATTTCTGTCGATTTACAGAGTCAAATGCTTTCCTAAAGTCAATAAATGCTGGATATAATTTACGTTTTCTTCTTATTAAGTACTTTTGCACAATTGCATACAATGTAAAAATATGGTCAGATGTGGAATAACCTTTCCTGAAGCCAGCTTGTGTTGCAGGAATTTTATCTCTAATATTAGCCTACATGTTTAATCTTTTGTTGATGATAGATGTAAACAATTTACCAATACTACTCGTCAGAGATATGCTTCTGTAATTGTCAGGGTTATTGATGTCACCCTTCTTATGTAGAGGTACTATGATAGACTGCGCACAGGTTCTTGGAAAGTATCCAGTCTTAAAAACATAGTTAAAACATTTATGCAAAAATGGCAATATAATGTCTTTGGAAGCTTTTAACATCTCCTCTAAAACCTTGTCCGAACCAGGTGATTTTCCGCTTTTAAGATTTCCTATGGCATCGACAATTTCGGTTATTATTGAATCAAGGATTTCGGCATCAAGTTCAGTATAACCACTGGGGGAGATTCTTAAAAAAACCACACACTTCATTAGTTTTCTCTGAACACGGTGCTGCCACTAGACTTGCAATGCAGCGATGTCATAGCATTGTGACGTCATCAAGTTCATGACGTCATAGCATTGTCAGGGCGGTATACAAAACCTATTGTCATAGAGGATATTATATGAGTGCTCATGTCATACTATGTTAACGACACGAGTGCCTAAATGTTGGTATTCCCCGAGTGAGAGCGAGGTGTATACCATAGTTAGGCACGAAGGTCGTAAACATAGACTACGTATGATATGGGCACGAAAATGACATTCTGTTTACTACCAAAGTCGTCAAATTGAGGAAAATAAACCCAAATTTACTTTCAAACATAGGCAGGCTACCCGCCGTCGCCGCATATAGAACGCAACGTCACTATCTCCCTTGAGATATCGTTTTATCTCACACAAGCAATATCCAATTTGGAACAGTTTGGATGATAAAATCATTTATTTAGCTGAACACAGAGATATTACATCCTGATACGAATAACCCTCATTATAACACCCCCTGTGTTTTTTTTACTACTCATGGTTTTCAATAGTTACCAACACGACACGGCTCAGTTAACCTGGATCCGATTGTATCATTGCTTCATTAACTAATGTCAACATTAAACCCTAATGATACATTAAATCCTTAATCCGCCATATAGGATAGTGTTTACAAAATCAAGTTTCGCTAAGGCCAGTCATAGGACGCCTATTACATCATGTATATTTCATATTCAGTTGTGACAAATGCATCGCTGAATTCCTCATACATTTTAGAATCAAATTCCAAATGGTCTTTGTCACTAAAACCAAGTGTCTAAGAAAAAACGGAACATATTGGGTGTGAAAACGGGACGTTGTGCTCATTATACAGCGCTTGCTAGAAATATAAACAAAACAAAAATCAGATTTTATACAGATACAATACTGAAATTTGATATATTGATACAAAAGTTCTGTGCAGCGTGACGCCATGCGAGACGCCGTGCGAGACGCAAAATCATGGCGAACGACATAGGCAATTATCGGCATTTCAGACTTTTTCAATGAAAACAATAAAAACAAACAACCATACGCAGATAGTCAGAATGTTTCCGATTACTTACATCATACATTTATGGACAAAGGTTCCCTCGCAAAATCGTGGGCACCCATATCCACGAAGCCGCTATTTCATGAGAAATCGGTCATCGGTAGTGATGTGATACATCAACATTGTTGAACATATGTGGCAATTTCTTTGAGGTGAAGGTCGGTTGAATAAGAGTAAACACAATCACACTTTCCTGCGGATTACACTTGTATTATTAATGTATACTTTGCGTATCGTTCACATATGGTTTCATGAAACTAATTTCATTATCAACATTTAGTATTTTAATCCTAAGTAAAACTGACATAATAAATAAAAATGATATATTTATTTCATGAAATGTATATATGCACACGTTTTTAAAGGATATGTCTTGTTCATTGAATTTGTTTATGTTTTGTTATAGACAAAACAATGGCGTATAATCATTGGCCAGGTGCGCGTTTGTCACAAATATTTTGAGTATCATTGTTTTCGATAATTCCGTGAACAAAACATCACGGAAATATTATTCACAGCAAATTCTTGCGAAGTGATCTGAATTACAGTGACTTATTAAGCGTACCGAAGTGAGGCCCGCTTATCTTTATAAGCGTGTGACCCACAGTACTTTTATCAGTGCACGATAAAAAGCAGAGCAATTTACTGTTTTTAACGCATAACAAAATTTGGAGTAACATTCAGCAGTGTCTACGTTTCAAACTGAGTTTATACCATGAGATAGGACATCTAACACTCTACATTAAATTTTATTATAGGTAGATCCAGTGCGGCGCAAACGAAATCCTGGCGCAATGTTCACTTTTCAAGGAAGTTTAATGACGCTCTAATGATACCCCAGGACCTTCATTAAGTTAATGACGCACTAATGACAGCAGAGCATCATTAAAACTTTAGTCCAACAGAATTTAATGATACATTAGTTAATGAACGTTTAATGGCACGTTAATGCTTCATTAAAGTTTGATACAACCGGGTCCTGGTGGTTGGTGTGTGTACATAGTTGGCTAAAAAGGGACACAAACCACATTATACGAACACACTGGTAGCAGTAGTTCTCATGCGGGTAATTAGGGAAAGAATAGTACACTTAAACTAATGAAATATGCACATAAAGGGAATGGGACGGAGGTTGGGTTGAGGTGTGTGGTGTGTGGTGTGTGTGGGCATGCTGTTTTAGTGATGTATGAGGAGCCCGACCGGACGGAGTACCGTGATGTAGCCATAACGTGTGTGCTGTGTGTGTGGGCATGCTGTATTAGTGATGCATGAGGAGCCCGACCCGACGGAGTACCGTGATGTAGCCATAACGTGTGTGTGGTGTGTGTGGGCATGCTGTATTAGTGATGCATGAGGAGCCCGACCCGACGGAGTACCGTGATGTAGCCATAACGTGTGTGTGGTGTGTGTGGGCATGCTGTATTAGTGATGCATGAAGAGCCCGACCCGACGGAGTACCGTGATGTAGCCATAACGTGTGTATGCATAGTATCCATAATATGCAGTGAGCAAAGTGAGAAATGCTCAGAAGGTTTTAGCACTTACCAGAATAATATAGACGACCTAGAACATGTGCTCCTCCATCTGTTTGGCGACTGTGTGGATGTGGTGATAACATTCCTTGCAGTGTCAGGTCCACATGATCTACCTCCTGGTTTGTTCCCTGGCCCTCGGTGTCACGTATACTGTTGCCTCTCTAAGTAACTATCTACTAGTTTGAATCAAGTGTCGGTGTGATGTGTCGATTTGACGATGACACCGACAAGAATAATAGAATATATTTGAAATTGACTGTACAATTTATTTTTTGCATGAATGGAGTAAAAATGAAACATCCGGCGTGATATCAAGTTTTGGAGGAAGTGAACGAGCGGGTGAGTCCGGGTTGGCTGGGCGAGTGTCTGAGTAAACGTTGGTGAGTGCATACGTGTGTGTGTGCGTGCGTGCGTGAGTCTGGCTTCACACCTGGAATTCTGACGAGCTTGTGAAGTATTTACCCATTCACGGAGAGTTGTCCCTGTTGATCACATCTAATGTAATCACAAAGCTGACGAAACACCTTGCATTATTGAGCTCCAACTGAACAGGATATGTTGTGTTATATTTTCCTGTCCTTGTCAGATAGGACGCTGGAGGAAAGAGATTGTGTTCATATTTATTCTTTTTGTTTACTGCGTTTTTAAAAATAAATCATGTTAACAATGTATTATTGTGTAATACGCGATGAGATTATTGACAGGCACGTATGTCCTTGTGATTGTAGATATACGCTTACCACGCATTTGTCATAGTATCTGTGTTGCTATTTAGGGTGTACACTACTACCATCTGGACGGGTTAGAACAGACATCAACGTCACCACCCGCAGACGTTGCTACCTGTACTCCAGTACCGTGAAGATCCGGGTTAGGATGGGTCTTCTGCATTCCCATGCTTGTCTCCACTCGTGAAGATCCGGGTTACAGTAAGTCTTCTGCATCCCGTGCTTGTCTCCACTCGTGAAGATCCGGGCTACATCGGGTCTTCTGTACCCCATGCCTGTCTCCACCCATGAAGATCCGGTTTAGATTGGGTCTTCTGCATCCCGTGCTTGTCTCCACTCGTGAAGATCCGGGTTAGATTGGGTCTTCTGCATCCAATGCTTGTCTCCACTCGTGAAGATCAGGGTTAGGTTGGGTCTTCTGCATCCCGTGCTTGTCTCCACTCCTCAAGATCCGGGTTAGATTGGGTCTTCTGCATCCCGTGCTTGTCTCCACTCCTCAAGATCCGGGTTAGATTGGGTCTTCTGCATCCCATGCTTGTCTCTACTCGTGAAGATCCGGGTTAGATTGGGTCTTCTGCATCCCATGCTTGTCTCTACTCGTGAAGATCCGGGTTAGATTGGGTCTTCTGCATCCCGTGCTTGTCTCCACTCCTCAAGATCCGGGTTAGATTGGGTCTTCTGCATCCCATGCTTGTCTCCACTCGTCAAGATCCGGGTTAGATTGGGTCTTCTGCATCCCGTGCTTGTCTCCACTCCTCAAGATCCGGGTTAGATTGGGTCTTCTGCATCCCGTGCTTGTCTCCACTCCTCAAGATCCGGGTTAGATTGGGTATGCTGCATCCCATGCTTGTCTCCATTCGTGAAGATCCGGGTTAGATTGGGTCTTCTGCATCCAATGCTTGTCTCCACTCGTGAAGATCCGGGTTAGGTTGGGTCTTCTGCATCCCGTGCTTGTCTCCACTCGCCAAGATCCGGGTTAGATTGGGTCTTCTGCATCCCGTGCTTGTCTCCACTCGTGAAGATCCGGGTTAGATTGGGTATTCTGCATCCCATGCTTGTCTCCATTCGTGAAGATCCGGGTTAGGTTGGGTCTTCTGCATCCCATGCTTGTCTCCACTCGTGAAGATCCGGGTTACAGTAAGTCTTCTGCATCCCGTGCTTGTCTCCACTCCTCAAGATCCGGGTTAGATTGGGTCTTCTGCATCCCGTGCTTGTCTCCACTCGTCAAGATCCGGGTTAGATTGGGTCTTCTGCATCCCATGCTTGTCTCCACTCGTCAAGATCCGGGTTAGATTGGGTCTTCTGTACCGCATGCTTGTCTCCACCCATGAAGATCCGGGTTAGATTGGGTCTTCTGCATCCCATGCTTGTCTCCACTCGTGAAGATCCGGGTTAGGTTGGGTCTTCTGCATCCAATGCTTGTCTCCACTCGTCAAGATCCGGGTTAGATTGGGTCTTCTGCATCCCATGCTTGTCTCCACTCGTCAAGATCCGGGTTAGATTGGGTCTTCTGCATCCCGTGCTTGTCTCCACCCATGAAGATCCGGGTTAGATTGGGTATTCTGCAACCCATGCTTGTCTCCACTCGTGAACATCCGGGTTAGATTGGGTCTTCTGCATCCCATGCTTGCCTCCACTCGTGAAGATCAGGGTTAGATTGAATCTTCTGCATCCCATGCTTGTCGTAAGCGATTCGGGTGGATCGGGTGGTTAGGTTAGCTGATTTGGTTGACTCATATCTCAGTTGCCATAGATCGAAGCTCCTGACGTTTATCACTGGATTGTCTGGCCCAGACCCGATTACTTACAAAACGCCGCCATATAGCTGGAATATTGCAAAGTGCGACAATGTTAGGCTACTAACGGTATCGGATGGAGATTCTCGCTTCACTTGGTGGCACATGTCATCGTATACCAAATGCGTAGACCGCTGTTCATGCTGTTGGTCTCCTGATTGTCTGGTTCAGACTCGATTATTTACAGACCGCCTCCATATAGCTTGAATATTGCGGCGTAAAACAACAAACCAATCAAATATAACGTCACGAAAAATTTAAACGTAGCAAATCAATTGTGTTTATCAAATAACTGTACTGTATCTGCTTTGTAATATTTTGTATACTTGCTACAGTACTTTTTCTCATGCATATTGTAATAACGTGAACCAATGTTTACAGCGAAGAGAATAAATGGAGCCAGAGCTTCTCTGAATGGATCACCTTTTTTAGGAAACTCCCCAGCAAGAGAACGATTTGGTTGGTATGACAGCAGTACTCCTTCCCGGGCATTATCATACCCTTAGTACAGAGGTGAATAATACGATTCTATGGTTATTTTCAGGAAATCCCTCACTTCTAGTTGTGCGACGTATCTAATTAAATTGCAAAGAAAAGGGAACTTCTACACGTGACTTTCATATGTGGCAGATGAATTAACATTACCTAGTATATTTCTTCATACAAAAAGTCTTCGAAGAAAACTGCGTTCTCCTGTAGGTTTCACCTATTTCCCTGTATTTGTTCTCATGTACGTGGTGTTTGCGCCTTCTGGATAATAACAAACCGTGTACATTGAATGCTGTATGCACATGCTCAGAACCCGAATACATTTATTATCAACATTACAAAAACACCAAACGATCATTTGAGGTAGCATGATGTAACACAAGTACTTCTGTTGGTGTTAATAAACACATAATTGATTTTATAACGAATCTGTTATCGGCGACAATAATATTCATAATCAAATTAGCTGCATTACGTAGGGCATGTCACGTAAATTGCT